CAAACACATTTACAAAACCCAAACCCAAGCCAACAGACCCAACCACCAAAAGTTGCAACCCATTTGCAAACCCCACATCACCATAGTCTGCCACTGCCGTTCACCTGCTTCATCATCACCAAAACCCAAACCATCCATAGTTGCTGAAACCATCAGCCCATACACAGTCCGCTGCTGTCACCATCCCCACACCACCAAACCCTAGCCACTGGACAAAAAACTCGTAACATCAGTCAAACCCAGAACCAATCGACAACCCATCAGGCCTCAATCTCGGCAACCCAACTCAGAAGCCAAATCAGAAAGAAGCCTTCGCCAGAAAGCAGTTGCCGGAATCGTGTCAGGTCAACAACCATGGTCGCCGGAATCCCCAGCATTTACCATCGCCATCACCGATCAGTAAACAAAACAGCATCTCGCTATAATCTCAGCCACAGTCCTCGCCATTGTCACTTTCACTGGAGTTTGTTAGGTCGCCGCCAGAATCTTGCCATCGTCGCTGGTCAGCCGTTGTTCTCTTCTTCATCGCTGCTCTCCTTCCAACCTCAAAGGGACTTAGGAAAGCAACATATTTTTTTATATATATATTAGTGTCAGGATTTGACCTGTTTGGTTACGAGCACAGAGTTATTCTAGTTCTGAAATCAGTGTAGAACTGAACCAGTTCAACAGTTCCAGCAGAGAACCAGTTTAGAAAAAATAATAAAAAACAACAACAACAACACAGAATTCCTACTTCAGTTCGAGCAGCTATTTTTGGGTAATCTTTAACACTTGGAGCATTCAATTGGGATCTACATTGGACTTCGGAAAAGGTACACGTACTTCAATTAAAATTTGTTATTAGTACTTTTATCCATTCGATTAGTATAGAAATTTGCAAAAAGGTCCTAACTTTAGAAACCCTTATCCAAGTCCTAGAATGATCAAAATCAATTAGCAATGTTTTGGACTTATTTTGCTTGAGTTCACGTCTGATTCGAACATGAATAGCGTAAACAATGCGTTAAAACCAACATTGTGCAAGTGAAAGCCAGTGCATATATTGAGATAATATATATATTATAATATATATATTATACATATATATTATATTCTTTTTCCTTTTCCCTTCTTTCCTCCTTAAATTACACCTTGACAGAATATTTGATATGAGAATATCATAAGAGAGATTTTAGCCAACAATAGAATATTGATTGAAGTGATTTATAGTATTGATTTCATTAATGTATTTTCCATATTTATCATCTCTATTCTTTCCTCTATAAATAGAGGTGATCCATTGTATACAAAGATTAAGAGAGAATATAATAAATAAAGATGATGTAGCCCTTTTGGCTTTGTGCGTGCTTCATTTTCTATTTATCTCTTCAACTTTAACGTGGTATCAGAGCAACGATCCTAGATCGTTTGCATTTTATTGGCTTTGTTCCGACCCACTTCCCCGGTTTTGTTCCGGCCATTTCCCCAGCTTTGTTCCAGCCCTTTACCGGCTTTGTTCCGAATCTTTTTCATTTTTCAGATGGATTACCCGGATGTCTCCCAGTGTTGCTCTGGCCCATTTCTCGGCTTTGTTCCGACCCATTTCCCCGGTGTTGTTCCGGCCATTTCCTCGGCGTTGTTCCGGCCTTTCGGATGCTTTTTGCTCCACCACCGTTTTCAACTATTTTCCGGTGTTGTTCCGGCCATTTCCATGGTATTGTTCTGACCTTTCAGATGTTTTTCTCTGCACCATCGTTTTCAAGATTTAATCTCCAAACTCAAGTTGGCTTTGAGAAACCCATCTTTGACTTTGCGGGAGAATATTGAGATAATATATATATATATATTATACATATTTATTATATTATGTTTCCTTTTCCCTTCTTTCCTCCTTAAATTAAAACTTGACAAAATATTTGATATGAGAATATAATAAGAGAGATTTTAGCCAACAATAGAATATTGATTGAAGTGATTTATGGTATTGATTTCATTAATGTATTTTCTATATTTATCACCTCTATTCTTTTCTCTATAAATAGAGGTGATCCATTGTATACAAAGATTAAGAGAGAATATAATAAATAAAGATAATGTAGCCCTTTTGGCTTTGTGCGTGCTTCATTTTCTATTTCTCTCTTCAACTTTAACAGCATATTCATTCCGAAAAAAGTTAGACTTGTGCAAGTTAAAGTTCCAACAGTGCAACTTTATTCTAAACATTTTTTGGAGAATGCGCATTAGACCTAACTTCTGAACTTTGTTGAGTAGTCAAACGAACTCGAAATTGTACGTATAATATATCGTAGGAAAGCTTATCGAGAATACTTTCTGACCATATAAAAATTAGACCAATGCAAGCAAAAAGTTAGGCCATTGCAAGTAAAAGTTCCAACAGTGCAACTTTATTCTAGAAATTTTTCGGAGATTACACGGAAGACCTCACTTACAAAATTTATTGAGTGGTCAAATGAACTTGAAATTGGGCATATAATATACCATAGGAAAGGTTATTGAGTCTACTTTCTATTTATATAAAAATTATAACTAACCTCCAAATACGAAAAAAGTTATGACTCTGGAATGACATATATGTCATATTTTGCCTGAATATAACACTCTATATAGGTATTGATTAATACCCAGTCAAATCATGTTCTAAGGTTTCCAAACATATTTCCACTGTTTAAATCATTTTAAAACCTTTTTGAAATTTTCCAAATCATCTAGGCCAAAAATATGAATTTTATCCATATTCAAAACCTAGGTCAAAGGTGGTCCAAATTATCTAAATGTTTACCAACCTATTTCCTAAGTTTTGTAAGGTCTCCCTTACCTTTTCCTTAAGTGATTGAATCTCATGAAGCACATTGTAGAGATAATGTGATCTAACATCCATCTCCCTACTTTAATCCTAATTTTGAACGCTATCTTCATTGGCTAGGTGACCACCAAAAACTCATGAACCCCAAGACACACATAATAAACATAACTCTAAAACGGAATTCATCAACATGAAAATATTATCCTTACAAAAAGATCTAATAAAGAGGGGCATATATATATATATATGAAACCATTTGCTAGAAAAATCCTTCTCATTTTATTTTTGTGATTTTTAACAATTTCAAAGTAGTAATAAGCATAAAAAGATCAAGTAAATACATTCGCTTGATAATTTTTACACTTTTTATCTTTTATGCTTTAGCCTCTATATTATCAGAACTTTTCAAAGAATGTTAAATACCTTATATTTTAGGCGTACTTTATAACCACGGACTAGTGAAGATGGAAGGAGGTTGAGGGGTGGGGGCTAGTGTTATTTATTGCTTGAAGTATTAACTAATAACTATCCCTGATCATATATTTAATGGAATAAGTACACATATTTTACAAATTCAATCATTTTTAGTTTTGCAAGTCCATTTGTCAAATTAGGTTAATAACATTATTTTAGTTTCTAAAGTTAGTATATTAATCTGGATTTAGCAAAATTAATTTGTATGACAATTAATTTTGAAATGTAATTAGCCTAAATGTAAAATACATGTATTAAATATTTGTGAATGCAAGTACAAATACAAGTAATTTGTATTTGTATATTTTTACAAAATTTGCAAATCTTGCAATTTTAAATTACACTTTGTAAAATTATATAATTTACATATTTAGTATTGAAAATTAAATACATATCTAATATTTATATTTAAAATAATAGATTCAGAGCGGGGGGTGGGAGGGTAATCCGACTGTGGAAAGACATTTGGTGTGGAGATCGCTCTCTGGCTCGCATTTATCCTTGACTTTTCAGGATTGTGGCAGACAGAGACGCCCTGGTGGCTGACTTTTAGCGGCTTGATAACGGGAGCACAACCTGGGATGTTCAATTTTCGAAGCATTTCAAGGATTGGGAGTTGGAGGATGTTTTTTTGTTTTTGGAATTGCTTTACCGTGAGGAGATTGTGGAAGAGGGTATAGATTCTTGTGTCTAGTCCCTTCCACGGGAGATTTGCTCTTAGGTCTTTCTACAGGTGTCTCATGGATGGTCCAGGGCCTTCTTTACCGTGGAAGGTAATGTGGCGATCTAAGGCCTCCCCAAGGTGGCTTTTTTGCCTCGACAGTTGTTCAAGGGAAAATTCTTACTCTGGACAACCTACGAACTACGAAGGAGGAATCAAATTATTGTTAATTGTTGTTGTATGTGCAAGAGAGGTGAAGAAACGGTCAATCATCTTTTGATTTACCGGTTTGATTGAGGCTTTGAGAGGTTGTACAACTTGTACAGTGGATGCCCAAGCCCACGACTTTTGGTGGGTAACACCTTGATTTTTTTGGTGGTGTTTATGGACAAAAAGGAATAGGAGATCCTTTGATGGAAAGGAGGCCACTCTTCTTTGTTCTCTTTATTGTTGGGTTTTGTGGAGAAATTGTAACTCCATGGGGAGAGTTTAGTGGTTTTTTGGATTCTCTCAGAGTTTAGTGGCTTTTTTGGCTTGTGTAGCTTTTCAGGCTGCATTCCCCATTTGAAAGCTTTCTAATGCAATCTTATTTATCAGAAAAATAGAAAAAAACTCAGTGCCATGTAATGAAATCAACCTGACCAATCCGGAAGGCTAGTACAGTATCAAAAACATTTGTCCAACAAAACAGATGTTGTGTTTGGAGCACCGAATCGGTGCCCTAAAATTGAAAATGGAAAAAAAAAAAATAGTTCAATCAAACATAGCTAGAATATCATTTCTTGTTAACATAATTTGGACTTCATATACGTATTTTTGAAATTAATGTATTTACTACTTAATTTTCATCATAAATTAAATTAATATAGTGTGACATTTTTTGATAGGTTCATTATGTGACGTGTCTTTTAGTATAAATCATTATATAAAATTGTTCAGTCTATAAACAATTTCCAGTAAGAGAGAACCACTAAGCAAAAATATAAGCAGATGCATAAAGTTGGCCCTTCGCAAAAAGAATCGATGAATTTAAGAAAAAAAATCACACGGGTGTCTGACCTTTTTATCAGGCCATTTAAAAGACCGCACCGCTGTTTCACCTTCAGTTATCAACACATTGTTCCCATCCTTTCCCGTAGAACCAAAATTAATAACGCCCAATCCATTCCTTGGAATGCTTGCGAATAACAATGAATTCATCACTGATTTATTAATATTTGAACCAACAAATACTTTACCCCATTGCTTCGCTCCTCCTGAAATCCCTGCAAAGAAAGAAATGGAATTATGGAAGATCACGTTTCTAATTTATACATATATATATAGTCTTGAAGACTGGTAGATTATGAACCATTCGAATAGCAAACAGCGCAAGAGAAAGAAATTACTATTGAAACGTGCAAATATTGGGGAAGCAGACAATGTAATGTGCGCCATTAAAGAAGGAAACGCAGTCACAGTGTGAAATTAGGGGTTGCCTTCCTACGACTGGAGAGACGGAGTGAGACAGCTCAAATGTCTTGTGGTTATATGTGACTGTATACCTTTGCCGGATCCAAATCGTCCCATTACTGTTCTCTCTCCCACTTGGTTAGAATTTGCCACGTCAACCATTTTTTTTAATCATTAGTTGATGATTTGTCTGGTGGATAAAAATCATCTCCGGTGAGAGACAATATTAGGCACCCCATCAGCATGCCAACATGCTATTCCCATCCAATAAAAAGTATGACATTTTTCCAACTTTTCAAGTCAGCTCCTACCATAAAGTTAACAAATAAAAAAATTAACTCCTTGTACTTTCTTTTTCAAACTTCATCAAAAAAAAAAAAAAAAAAATTTATTTCAAATTTCAAAATAATGATTGAAATCCATCCCACTTTATTTCTCTGTCCTAGTTACCCCCTTACTTTCTCTTTCCTTGTTGCCCTAAATGATTCAAAAGCAACAATCATTTGGTAATCAAGACGTGTTTGCTCGAATCCACAACCGAGACCCTAGCAACGGTCGTGGCGGTCTTCTCTTTGACCTCCGGCGTCAAGCTCGACGAGCACCGAGACGATCCCTTACGCCATCGCAATCAACACATTCTTGTCGTCCTGAAGTAACCCCAGCAGCGAGTCCAACGCCGAGTTCTTCGACTCGATGCTCCCAATCTGTAACTGAGTTTTCAAGTTCCGAGCCTCAACTCATATGGACTCCCTCTTCGATGTTGACGACGACCTCAGAACAACGTCGTCGTGTAGCACCCTGCTCTTGATCAAAACATCGGATTCTCTGATGTGCTGGTCCAACTTCGCCAAGACCCAATCGACGTCGTTCTGCGTCTTGAGCTTGCGTTCGAGGAGGGTCGAATTTTTGACAGGCTTTAGAGAGGGAGAGTGCGTCGGAGAGAGTATCGAAGACAGAATGGAACAGTTCTAGAGAGAGAGTTGGGAGGTGAATCGGCGAGGTCGGCGAGTTGAGTCTTGAGATCGGCGAGTTTGGTTCTGATTAAAGATCACTTGCCTCTGAAATTTCTGTGTGTGTTGTATCGAGTCCAGTAGTGATTGAAGAAGCTGATTCGAAAGGTTAATGTGTTCATTTTCTGGTTCTTTCATGGTGGATTGTGGTCTAAGAATATTGGGATTTTAACGGATATGTAAACATCGCCACAGCACCTTCTGTTATCATCTCGCGTGTGTGTTTAATTACAGGATCTGATGATCAGTCCTACAAAAATCTTTTTTTCTTCCACGCTTATTAATTTACATATGGCGTTCATATTTATTCACAACCGTTTTTTCCCCTTTTTTAACTTTAATTTCATAACAATTTTTTTTTTTTAATTTCCAGAAATTAATATATATTCACATAATTCATCACTGAAAACATAAGTAAATACATGTCAGTATTCACATAACTGAGGTTTGCCCACAGTTATCATGTGTTTTATTGGAGGGCTTTGGAAAATTTGGATATCATGGATATTAGCCGCAGGATGATTGCTGAAGTCTGTAACGACCTAAGTTTTATTCAACCCGGTGTATCAACGGTGACCCGAACATAAATCCAACAATGAATCATAATACAGATGCAAAAGGTAAAACAATGATCTTTAGAGATACTACATGTCTACCAGACACCAATGTGACCCTCAATGAGGTCACAAAACCAAAAGAAAACAAATGCGGAAGCGACTTTTCAAAAACGGACAAGAATGAGCCTAGGGGCAAAACGGTCTTTTCTAAAATGTAAGTGGATGCTACCAAGCACACCATTGGAAAGACAACAAAAAAATAACTAAAATGGACTTAAGAATCACCTGATTCGGAGTCCGGACGGAAAAGATATGAATTTAGAACAAAATGGCCTTCTTCGTTTAGAAGTTACCACGACCCTATCTCACTAAAACTACAACAACTCTTACTATAGTTGGATTTTTTAAGTGTGGTTGGTATCATTGGAAATCTAACTTCAAGCTCTTGAGTTTAGGCTCAAGAATGACCTGATTTGGATCAGAAACGAAGGAGATATGACCCTCTGAAGTTGACCCAAGAAATCTGTCCAAGAAGCTGAAAGGAAACCAAGCTCCAGGGAGGATCAGCCAGCTGATGTACAGTACCAGCCAGCTGAAACTCAATCATCAGCCGGCTGATGAACAGTATCAGCTAACCAAAACGCCACTTTTCATTTGCAAACCTATTGGAATTGGTCTCGAACAGTCATCAGTCGGCTGATAACTGTTATCAGCCAACCGATGGACCTGGTAGTAGCAGAAAAAGCTGTTGCAATCCATGGAGAAGGTTCTTGGCTCAATCCTAAAGCTATGCATGCTTCCCATTTGATCCGTACAAGTTTCAAAACATTCCCTAGCCTTATACAAGCATCTAAAACATGCTAAATCAAAATGAAGCTTTAAATGATACCCCAATGCATGAATTTTGCTTAAATTTTCATAAATCATCCAAAAATAGTTCAAAAGTTGGAACTTAAGAATTTTGTGAAATGTAAACATGCACGCATACGTAAAATGAATAAGTAGATGCGCTACAATGGCCTATGGCCTCATGGCATGTCATATGCAAAAAATGACCATTCAACCTTTGAAATCCCATATATTCCATAAACAAACTATTAAGTTAAACTAGCATACATATCATACAAATGTCTTTGGCCCTTGGCCTCATTACATATATGTCCTAAGAGTAACAAAAGGTGCACTTAAGTGCACATTACATAGCTTAGACAATAAATACAAGTTTTTATATTATACACCAAAAAGGATCATGATATGCTAACAAGTGCATATTCAATGTCACCAAAAATACTCCAAGAATTCTAGCAAGTCTAAGAGTATTGTGCATCCCACAATAAAGCTTCTTTACCTAAAAAACACCAGGTAACTTTGGGGTGAGTAAACAAGTTTACTCGTATGGAATGAGCATGCATAAGTTTAACTTATTACAATGTTTGCAATTCAATAGAATTTAGTCCATGCTATTAAAATGACATTGGAACTTTTCACATAGCACAATGAGATGCAAATATCACAAGGTTATCAAGTTTGGAAATTAGAGAGTGAAATCAAACTAAGGTGGATACTTGGATATTGCCCAGATTAAAACCGTACTCTTGGGATCACTTTAGGGCTATTAACCCATGGGTACCTTCTCCTAGTGCGCACTATAGTATAGGGAGCTCTCTATCTCCCGTACTAAAACGAAGTAATAGCCAAGTCAAGTTCTTGATGATATCCCAAGTTTCCAAAATCAACAAGTAGAGTAACATGTCATAATATGTGATAAAACACAATAAGTTCCATGAATTACATGACTAAATCATTAGATCAATATGATAGAAATTAAGTAAACCAACTAAGTAATTTCCCTAGATTTCAAGAGTTATCCAAATGATTCCAATTTAATATATAACAAGGAATAATTATGGTCATGTCATATATCAAGTCTAAAATGAAATAGAAGCATGGTAGAAATAATTAGAATTTAAATCAACTTAAATTAATTAATCTTCTAGATTTAAAAGCTCATTTAAATTATACCAAATTAATACACAACAAAGATCAAGTCATGGCCATGCCATATATCAAGTCTAAAATAAGTTATATACAAGCTACAATTAATCATTAATTTCTCATTTCAATACAAGACATGCATACAACTTAATATCACTACAAAAGCAATTAATTCACTTAGATAATAAACTAGAACACCCCCTACCTCAATAGAGAGTTGAATCTCTATAATCCAAGGCAACCAAGCTTAAGATGGAAAAATCAAACAAGAGTTTTATAGAGGAGAGTGAGAGGAAACTAAAGTATTCCAAGCTTAAAGGTCTTAGGTGAGTGGAAGGGCACCAAAATGAGATATAAAGCTTTAAACCAAGCTTAGTCTTCAATAGTGGCTAGATTAGGGTTCTTGAGAGGAAAGAGATGAATGAAATAAAATGTGGAAACCCTAAGTTAAATATGGTGGAATCCTCCACTCACTAGGTGCTCTTGCACTACCTCACACACACACACTTGCAAGACTAAAGGTGAGACCTACACTTGTCATGAATCTAAGTAAACTTCCAAGATTTAATATCAAGCCTACACTTGTCAACCATCCATGCCAATAAGTGCTCCTATCCTAGGCCAACAAATGTGTGAATCTCTACCCTCCATGTGTCATCAAACAAGGCTTCTAAGTGGTTCCACCACAAGATCAACAAGTGGCACCATGAGAGTGTGACACTTATCATATTTTTTAGAAATTGCAAAAAGGTCATTTTTGAAAATATCTTCTAAAGTAAATTACAAAATGGTCCCTAAGACGAAAAAAAATTACTTTGCATAATTACACTAAAACCCCAAAAGTTAAGAATATTACCAAAAAGTTATGCATCCATGCCCTTTACAAGAAAAGTAGACATTTAGCATGCTTTGCTATAAAAGTAAAAATGTAGTTATCATGGAAATTAAATATCATGGATGTATGCAAAGCCGCAACCAAATCCGTACACCAAAGGTGAGGTTATGTAAGTAAAAATGAAAAATGGGAAAAGGACGAAACAGAGAAAATGACAAAAAAAAAGAAATTACCGAAAATGAAAGGAAGTAAAATGACCGAGTCATTACAAGTCTGATTCTTTGCTACTGCAGTTGCGTTCTTGCTTGGATAGAATGATTGAGACTATATTTGGTATGCTTATAGGAGAATGGGTCTGTGCCTATCTGTTGCATTACTGTTCATGTCGTTCTTGGCTTTGGTTCAATGCCAATCTATTACAGATTTGTTGCACTCTTCTTCTGTGGTTTATGTTGCCTTGTGTACTCTCTGAATCTCTGTGTGGCTGTGATTTTGCTTTTGGTGGAGCTGTGCATTTGGTTTGCTTTTGGAGAATGGGTTCTTTGCCCATCTGTTGTTGCTTCACTTTTGGGGTCTAAGAATATTGGGATTTCAACAAATATGTAAACATCGCCGCAACACCTTCTGTTATCATCTCGCGTATGTGTTTAATTGCAGGATCTAATGATCAGTCCTACAAATATCTATTTTTCTTCCACGTTTATTGATTTGCATAAGGCG